TTCAAAATGGCTGACTGGCGGCCATTTTCTTTTAATGATTGGGCTTCTAGAGCCATATCTCTTAAATGCTTTGACTTATTATATTTAAATTTTATATATTCGTTATACATCATGTTATATTTATACATGTATTTAAAATGGCTGTTTTTGAATGCTGTTCCAGAGCAATATCTCTCAATATGGACAAGTACTTGTTTGACGATCAGATACAAATGTCAATCATTTTAATGTTAAAAATCATATTCCTGACATATATTCCAGCTATATTACTATAAACAAAACTATATATTTTAAATTTGATAACTAACGGGGACTGTGCCATGCATGGCTTGTTTATTTTTCTAAATCGGGCTGATTAAAAAAAAATCATGCCTTTTTCCCCATGAGAAACGAAGCCAAAAGATCGCACTAAAACATCGGTAAATCTGGTCTTTCGTGTTGCTTTCACAATGAGGTCGCTGAACAGTCATATTTAAATGCTTTATGGTAATTTGAGCACATGGGCACCATCCAGCATTTTGATTGGTTGATTAGCAACTCGACCTATCTGGTCAATAAACACGCCTCGTGCGCATGAATAACATGGTGGATATCGTCTTGCATCGAGCGTTAACATGTAACCGAAAACATTTGCTTACGATAAAACTAATTTGAATTTTACTTGCATTTCATAACAATTCAACGAATTTATTTTTTGTACGTTAATATAATCACTACTGAGTACTAATCAACAATTACAACACTTCGAAAACAAGTAATGCATAATAAATATAGTGAATATTTTTAGTTGTCATGTGAACAGTTTTTTTGATTGACTGTAATTTTTCAACATTTCATGACGCCTATTGTAGAATCAAATTAGGGCCTTTCACTCCTCCTTGACGCCTACTTAAACGATTATATGGCATCTTGTCGCCAGCCACGAATGTCACACTAGACGAACTTGATAGATACTGCCGATCATTCTATGCATTTTTTATCGACACACGACGGCACGCAAATCGAGAAAAGTATTGTCCTTGCAACAATTTCGCGCAATACGTCACCACTATAGAGTGACTGATTTTAATTTTTATTCAACATGGTCATATAAAAATAAAATAAACTACATTAAGATACAGTAAAGTTAACCAACTAAACAGAATGCTAAATAAAGCTAAATAATATTACAAACACATATAGAATCACAATAAACTTGTACGATACAGTACAATACAATACTCTAACTACTATTGCTAAGGAGTGGAAAATCACATTCACATTAGAGTCATAACTATGGAAAGAATATTTTTATATTTGGTGGAGCTGCTCATATATCATTTGCATACATTTTTGTATGTATTGTGCAGTTTCCCAGCCAGTCCGACTCGAGTAGTGATTGGCTTGCTTTCCATTACATCCTGCAGCCTTTCAAACAGTATATTGCTACACATGCATCAATTGTTGTCCATGTATATTCCTAATTGCTCAGTGTAAACTTGCAATTTCTTTCTGGCTGGTATAAATATATTAAGTAATATGTTTTCGTACTGAAAAGACGTTACACAAATATCTTTTTTAATTGAATTTGACAGCTAATGGGAGCACATATACTACAACCTCTGCTTACTTTTGACTAAATGTTTTTTTGTTTTTTTCAGGTGCAGAGCCAGAATTTTTTTCTCGGAAAGCAAAGCCACTGGAACTGCATATATTACAAAAGCATACTATTCGCTGCATGTCTGACAATTGTATAAAGTTTTGCAGGTCGTCTTTTTTTTTTTCTTTGAGAAGTGCTGTCAACCAAAGCATAAATATGTGTTTCTCTGTACATAAAAGTTCAATTTCACACGATTTGTTAATATTAATGTATGATAATAAAAACTTGAAAATATTTTTCTGGATTCTTGCACTTTATTTGTATCATTGTCATATGAGAAGTACTCTTGTCCTTATTTAGAGATATTGAAACTAATTCAGGGCCACAAACTACCGGTACATGTAGATCTGTACAT